GCGCATCTTCTTCTCTTCCGCCATGGTTCAACAACCACCGCGGGGATTCAGGGAACATCAGAATCCCAGCGCCGAGGAAAATTCCCAGTGGAATCTGACACAGAATCGGTGTTTTCCACTGCCAATTATTCTGCGGCTCCAGCTGAGCAGATCCTGCGCAGACTGCGGATGAGGCAACGTTTCCCAGTGCCAATCCAACGTTGTATAGACCCAGCGCAATTCCACGCTTGCTGGCGACAATGCATTCCGAGCTATATGTGAGGCTTGATGCGGCGAGCTGACCAAGACCAATAGCACTAATGCATTTGCACACCATATAATGCGTGAAGCTCCCTGCTTGTCCAGCACCAGTCCCTAACATCCCCGCCGCTCCAATAATGGCCAGAATACACCCGATCTGGATATTGCCGCGGCGACCAGTGTATCTTCCTGTCAGACCAGATAAACCTCCGCCGATACCAGTGAATAGATAATTCAAGCTGATTAAAGATTGTTGAATCGGAGCAATGGAGCAGTGTTCAACGGTCGCACCAGTTGTGGGATTGAGGAGATGCGTGCAGGTTCCAAATGCCTTTCTATAAGACGGCATGATTAGAACTGTCCCGGTATATCCATGGTCGAAATTAAATATCCATGCCGCAAATGCCATCCATAATGACAAACGCAGCATAGCCCCAGTGGAATCTAATTTACTTCCTCGTGTGTCGCTGCCATCGTCGGAAGGTAGAGGTGTGATATCGATTTTCTCGGGCTCCTCGTCGTCGTGATATTTGCCGAGTGTCATTATCACGGCAGTGACTAGAGTAGGTGTAATACAGGCGGGAAATATTTCGAAGTCTTTGCCCTATTTCACAGGGTCAATTTTCCGAGTTCTGGGGTATATAAGGCTCGTCTCAGTTGCTCGGTCCTTCTCACATACCAATGATGCGCCACACATATCCAGCTTGCTCATCAAGAATTCTAGCCCTGGACTCAACCAATGGCAATAAATATTCGTCCTCAAATGACCGATAAGGTCATGAAATGTTCCTGACTGTGGAACAAATGTCTGACCGTATCCAGTTAAGGCTTCTTGAATTACTGAATCATGGCGGACAATTAAACAGGCCAAGCATCTCAGGGCTGTTTCAAGGTTTGCTGCCTATCTCTTTTGGGAACCTGAATGTCAATCCCCCGGATCCCTTTTTCCACCACAGGTATTCTTGCGATTGAACAGGACGGGGTGCCTTTCCGTGCAATCGCCCCCGAAACCTCGTGCCGTGCTACACCATCCAGGTCATTTGGGACATACATGTTTTCCAAGCCAAGCCGGTTTCTCGAAAAATGAGTATCAGTCTTGATTTTCTCCTTTGTACTTTGTGCATATAGCCCTTTAATTATGACGTAGACTCGGTGGAAATGCAGCTATGGCAGATTATCCAACCTTGTTCCTTAGTCGTGGATGTGACAGAATTGAGAAAGTCATCAAAGTCTAATCCATATCACAATTCTCTATCGCATGCAATGAAGATCAAGACAACTCTCCTTTTGGAAAAAGATGGCAATGTGATCATTTCCAAATATGTTACTGGAAATGGGAGATTTTCTCTATCAAGGAGTCTGAAATTAGACGAGATTCCTAAACCCATATAAGAGGATATTTTCAATACTATTCAAATAAGCTGACAATGATACGGAAAAACAAATATTGGAATTGGTCGCTTCGGCATATTATCACTTCGGCGCATTATGGTGATGAAAAAAAGGTAATTCCATTACTGGCTATTGTTCATCTAACACCGTGCAACAATCATTTCAGCAGCTATTCCCAATCCTGGATATAGACGAGATCCCTATATCGAGAGCGAACGAGCAGCCTTGGTATGCTCCTCGTTATCTGCATCTAGAGCAGCTACATACTCGAGTGCATCACTTCCTTCAACGGATAATCTCTCATAGGCGTTTTCATCCTCTGACAATTTCCACTCCGGCAAAACTTGATACTCAGAACTCCCAGGGTACTTGAATAGATATTCATAGTCCCCGTCATTCTTCTTTCGACGCTCATAATTATCGCCGGTCAGCAAAATGGGACGATACTTCTTTCCTTTGATGGTTTTTTCCACCCGGTATCCCACCACAGGATGAATCTGCTCGAATGTTTCGCCTAGCTTCTGGCCTTGTTTATTCAATGCGTAGCGGCCTGGTGTGCGTGGACGAGACCCATTGGCAACATACACAACTCCGAAGTTATCTGGTAGGTCCCCAAGTCCCCATGTATAGATACGCTGATCCATATACGCGGGCTTCTCTCCCGGAGTAAGAGGGTGCAAGATGGAAGAGGCGATCCACTGGCCCCCTCGTTGAAACCACTTCCCCCATGATTCTGTCTTGCGTTTGTTCATTCTTTCGTTGTACCAGTCAAGAGCGTTGTTGATCTTGGCTAGCCTGACTTGCCGTGATAGCTGATCCTTCTTCAGAGTCTCCTCATTGAGTGAAACGAATCCTTTGATTTGATCAAGCATCCAGGCGAAAGCGATATTCGACATCTCCTCCATGTTCCCTTTGTTTTCCAAAGTTAAGGTAGAGCCGCCTCCGATATTGATGTGGACACCTGGAAACCATACTTGTAGCAGTTTAGAGCGATCTTTCTGGCTGTCCATCAAGTCCAATAGTTTTCGCTCCGCCTTGTTCTTGGCATTGCTAGCATCTTTCAATTCCCCAAGAGAGGGGCGATCGGTCAAAATTATATCTTTCCAGGTGTGAGTTGCATCTTGGCACAGTTCTTGTTGCTTTTTGATCTCCTCGTCCGAGGCCCTTGTGACAGAAGAAACATAGAACAATGTTGGAGTAAAAGCGGCACGGTGCTCATCGAGGGCCAACGCCTGGAAGGCATTCTTTATATCTGTGATTCTAGTTAGTCATATTCATAGAACCTTTGAAAGGAATATCTCGAAATGGGGAACAAACTCGGAGAAAGTCCAACATTGTGCCACTCCGGTTTGTCAGTTCGCGTAAGCCATTGAGGCATCTCGTATCCAAACACTTCTGGGAAGCCCAGCGCACCAACTGTTTCGAAAACCCCCACGACCTCGATATGTCTTGATTCCGGAGTACGGGCCCATTCACCCCGGCCCAGCGACTCCCACACAACACGGTCATTCTGGCGCTCTTCTGGTTGAGGGTCAGCTGGCTTTCCATCGTGCCAGTCAAAGTAGGCATCGCTGCCATAGAATCTCTCGCCGGTAACCGCAGTGTGACTTTGCTTGTAGAGTTTCCACATTTCGGGGAAATCCTGGATATCGATCTTGGAGCAAATTCCTATGTCTGAAATCAAGCCTGCAATTGCACGCGCTGTGTATGCTCCTCGTGAAAAGCCGAAGCACAAAATCTGGTCACCGGGGTTCCAATTCAATACACAGAAGTGGTAGGCCTCGATGACGTTTCCTTCGAGGTCTCTACCGACTGATACTTGACCGTCTGAATTTGTTCCGACCCCAGAGTCGTACCAGACAACTTGTTGCCAAGTTCCATGGTCATCATCGTCAACTCCGACACTGTGGATTGCCCGACATAACCGCGTCACGTTGGATGGGACGCTCTCCTCGCCCGAGACCGCAGATTGCCCACTTCCATCGCAGCAGATTATAATCCGTTTGCGAGATGGAGGAGGGACATATGTATGGGTAATTTCCCCCATTCCCAGGTCGCGGTGGGTAACTTGGTGATAATGCTAGACAGTGAAGGTAGAAATAAAGGTAGAAATAAATCGTCTACTTCATGGCGGCAAAAGGGAAACGACATTGCTTATTTATTTTTTTTACCGTTTGAAGTGAATAAAGAAGCGTGCCCGGCTGAGCTGAATCTCATCACGCGGCGCTGGTTATTGGATGGGTTCTTGTCATCCTCGCTAGAAATGGCCCATTTCGACCTCGGCCTGTCCGATAGCTACAAGTGCAGGCGATCGGGAAAGATAGCCGATTTGACTCTGCAAAAAACACAGCCACCGAACTACTCGGCTTTTTACACTATATGCGAGAAACAGGCAAAAAGAAGGCGAAAAGAAAAAGTGGCAATGTTGGTGTGTGATGGTCTAGTGCCTGAGGCACAGAAAGACACCACTCCACAGTTTACACGAACCAATCCCAGTCGCACATTTTGGACCTTTGATGTAGTCCTCTCCAGAATCATTATTTCTCGTTCTTTGACCCATCTGTGATATTCACACTGAGCAAGTGGAATTTGTGCATGATATACACTGCGTCGTCCTCGCTCTTGGCCCATTTGTCAACCGAGATAGCCAGTTCATGTTGGCATAAAAACGATCCACCAGTGAGAGATCTGAGGCTCTACAGTATCCTTATCTGGGTTAAATATACTAGTACTCCAGGATAGTGGTCGTGTAGTGTATTTGTAAGTGACTAGAATGGTGTATTGTCGGTCCCAAAAAGATCTCATTGGATCCAGAGAATGTCTTCCCAAAAGGGACTCGGAACTACAGCATCAGCTTTTCTTTTTCCAAAACGGAACCGCAGCGACTGAGCTGCGTCTGGATCGACCTCACCTTTTCAATCTCTTCACTCTATTTTGATGAACTATCTTCACTCCACTTTTTGAAATCCTCTTTACTCGCGATGGAACCGGATCTCCCAGAAGACTCCCTCGAAATGTCTTCTGACACGGTGGAAGAAGCAAGTCCCGCACTTGAAAGGCGACAGATCTTGGAGCGAATGAAAGATCAACTCACTACTAGTGCTACGTATAAATATTCGACGACGGCCCTGATCAGCCCAAACGGAGATCCTGCGTTCCCCTCTGCTAGAGAGCTCAAAGATGTGGGGATTACGGCAACTCAGGTCAATCTTTCTGATGATGGGACTCTACAGTTTGATCCATGCTTTTTTCTACCTTGTCCCGAAAAAGAGCTGCTGCAAATGTATCCCTTTAGTAGAGATAAAAAAATGTCGCACCCACTTGAGCCCTTTATGTTAGGTATCGAGTCGTCTTTGTGGTTAGCCCAAATGTCCTATCCTAAGAAGGCTCCCACTGGCCACATCCTTGAAGAGCTCTACGCCTGGTATAGTACAGTTGGTGTCAAAGGTCAAGAGGAGGAAAGGGATGACTGCTTGGAACGCGCTATAGCAGCTCTAAGAGATCTCCACAGCCAGCGGTTTGCGCCTTGCAGCACACATAAAGATTGGAATATTGAGAGCTATAGCAATAGCTTCAATCTGCAGCAGTTAGTAACGCATTGGCGGTGAGTGTATTAGTTAAATCCTCGTTCGATTTTTTTTGATTGATTAAGTTTACTTTCAAGTTTATTGATGCTAACACTTCCAAGTTATTAGGCTCGATATCTTCTACAATTTTTTTTTCTCATCCTTAAGCATGCGAAGTGGGCTTGGTGATCTACGTAGTATGCGCAGTTGTATAGTCCGCACGTGACACCGGCGATAGTTGGTTCACTCCGACCGGCGGCGGCGGCGGCGACCTCCACGGAATCCACCAGCAACCCACAATGGAGCTACCAACTCTGCTGATCCTCGCAGCACTTTTCCTCGGTGAGTACCATTGCGCACACAGTCACATACACAGACATCTTGCGGTGTCGCATTTCTCCTCAAAAGAGCATCGCGACTGTCGGCCGCTACTACATGCGCAACACCCCTCAGTTCAAGACCTCCAACTGATCATTCCCCGCCAGTTTTCCGCTTCGTACAATCGCGACGAGCCGCAGCAACACCAATGGAGTCCCACGGAAAGGTTGCCAACATCGACAAGTAAGGAATACACCCTCGTGCGATCGAAAACATAACCGGGAGAAATGGGCTCTAACAACACCACCAATGAAACAGCGATGTCATCTTCAAGGCTCTAGTCCACTCTGGCGCCGCCGTTGTCGACTTCTACGCCACTTGGTGCGGTCCCTGCCGCGCCGTTGCTCCCAAGGTCGGTGAGCTGAGTGAGAAGTACCAGAACGTCCGCTTCGTGCAGGTCGATGTGGATAAGCTGCGTGGTGTGGCTTCCGAGTTCAATGTCACTGCCATGCCTACTTTCGTTCTCATGAAGGATGGTAAGGAGGTGCAGCGCATTCGTGGTGCCGACATTCGGGCTCTGGAGGCGGGTATCCAGGCTATCTCTGCTTGATTGGTTTCCGCCGTGGAAGCTAGAAAGGGAGGATCGAATAAAAGGTTTCATGCATACCTGAGCAAATGTCAATAGTGATAACCAAAGTGGACGATCGACCACTCAATGAATACACCTAGTCAGGTGGAATTTGATCAACGAGAGTTTTCTATTCATCAAATACTGACGAAGGTGAGAATTACGAGTAGCTTTTCAATCACCGATAAATGGGGTACGAGTAGGTAGTTCCATGGAATATCAGTTGGGAAGCCGGTGTCAGGCATGAACCAGGAGAGAACAGCATACAATGGGCTTTATTACGTAGAATGAGTGGGAAAGGGTATGAGAAAAATTATGTATTATGCGGGGGTATGATAAGCACTGTGTTTTGTCACAGGAGCAGCTAAACCTCACAAAACAGACAAAAGAAAGAAACGATGAAGGTATATCACAGGACACCTGAAACTTCTAACCAAAACCAATAAACCTAGAAGCGATGCGCTTAGAGGATGGAGCCGAGAGCAACACAAGGAAGGCCGGCGCCAACCAGGTCGTTGGACTATGAATCCTATTAGTGGTTGAAATAGACAAATTCTGATGGAGAAAACTCACGGCAGTCGAAGGAGAAGTGGCACAGCAGGCAATGTTTTGCTTGCAGCGCTGGTTGATAAGATCCTGAATGGGGACAGCAACGATGATGGGGACTGTGTAATAGTTAGCATATAAGTCAATAGGATTGTAGTTATGTGAAACTTACTCTGAACATCCAGCTTGGAGCACTGGTCGAAGATACCAGCACCCTCAGAACCGGAGCCAGTGCCGACCAGGTTGGACAGAAGACCAGCACCAAGACCCTTGTTGACATCAGTGGTGTCATGGGCGTAGGTAGCCCGGTTACAGCAAGAGAGCTGGGCCTGGTCACCGCACTTGGACTGAGCCTCCTTAACGGTCATGCCCTTGGGGACGGGGAAGCGGACTTGGCCAGCCTCCTGGTTCTGCATGCCAGACTCAGTGGGCATGGCAGCGGCCAGAGAGGCGAAAGCGACGGCAATAGCGGCAATGGAGAACTGCATTTTGACGGTGGTAAAGATTAAAGATTAAGGTCTTAATAAAAGAGATAGGGTTTTTGGTTTTAGGGAAAGAGGTAAAGATGTAATGAGCAGAGAAGAGAAGATGCTTGGATAGAGAACTTTACGGACCATCGATCAGGCGCCTTTTATCTTGGAATATTCGTCTGTTTGGGGCTCGTGCTGGGTCCATGCTCCTCCAAAAACAACCCCCGAGTATTTCAGCCCGGAATGCTTCACGCAAGGGTGAATCCTTCTTATGGCCTTGATCGTCTAAGGGCAGAGTGTTCCTCGATTGGTCGATTCTCTATTTCCGGGATTTTCACTCAATCAGAGCGCCACTTTGCCGGAGAAGAACTCCTATGTACGCCCTACATTCCTTCGCACTGGTATCTATGAGAGTTACCTCATAGCCCTCTGCATGTTGAATGTCGTCGTCTATCAACAGTCAGATCTGAAGGGAAAGCAATAGCTCACAGACTAATAGGAATCTTTAATTTTATTATTGTATCTCAATGCTCTTTGGCTGTCGCAATTCTAGGATCCTCGATGGCCTATCCAACCCTCGAAGAATGCAACAGAATCAAGTTTAGTACACCTTCGCATGGAGACGGTCACTCCCTGTGCGGTTTTCTTTAAAAAAAAATTGAAATCGGGTTAAATGGCGTTGTGGCGTTCGGGAATTTTCCCGAAGCCGCAGATGCATGTCTCTTATGCACCAAGACTATATTCTGCTCAAGATAAGTCTAATCCCAATATCTCAACGCCTCGATCCCTCCTCAGTAATAAAATACACCCTCGGCCTGGAATTTCTTCTCTAAAGCAGAGACAGCCATTAACTCAAAAGTGGGTCGACTATGATTCGGATCGGGTGCCCGTTCGAATGTAGGGCTTTGATGGTAACAGGATCCTGCCGATCTCCCCTCCCGGTTGACTCGCGAAATCCGAATGCTCGGGGTTACGATGGGCGACCGTGATGATCGACAGGGCCGTTCCTGAGCGGTATATCCACCGTACATAGGAGAGGAATGGATTTTCGGGCACTAAAGATTCGAGGTCGGCGGAGGCACATACTTTCAACGAACCTTGCTGGGGCCTTGATAGAGATTTGATATCTGAGATTTAAGGCACAAGCAAACATTCAAATGTTCCCGTCATTCAAGTCATCGAAGAATTACGATGTTTACGATCACAATAAGAGATAGAACCGACTCTCTGCTAGGAGGATGGAGTGGACAATACTAAGGGGTGCGAACCCCTTGATAGGATCATGGTAGCTAGGGTCCTTCAATGCCCTTCAAGGCTAAGGTAGTCTCCAGCTAGCTTCATAAAACTGCCACTATTAGCAGAAACTTTTTGTTTCAAAAAAAGGACCACCATCAGATATTAGTAGTGGAATAAACAACTACATAACATAGTACACTGGAATAAGATGTGGTATCGTGGATATGACGTCAAATCTCTGAATAGGCTGTCGCTTTCCCCTTTAGGAACCGACACATCTTAGCTTGCAGGTTGTTTCTAATTATGAAAAGAAAGCAAAAAAAAAGAATAAGCTAGGTTTTCAATAAAAACAGAGTGATTATTAATAAAAAATGGCTGTGGGAAAAGAAAGGAAGCAAAAGATAAATGCCGGGCCCCCGAGTCGAACGGGGATTACTTGACAGCACTCGAAGTCAGCAAGGGCACGACCAGCTTGTACTAACCCGGCGGATTTTGAAAGTATGGGTCCAATTTACCCTCATCACCGAGTAAATCGCCGAATTGGGCGTTGGGGGGAATAGGACAGTTCCTAGGTATCTACAGTAAGCAGGGCTAGGAAGTAAATAACTTCTTGAGGGGTTGAAGGACGTCTGTTCATTCAGTGCGGTATCGATGTATACTCCCTAGGTATATATTACTTACCTACCCCGGCGTACTGCCAGATAGATATCATTTTCATTGCCGATCCCAGATGAACTAACGTATCCAGTCTACATGCTAGCTAGCAGACTTAAACATGGACAGGTGAGACCAGCAACCAAGACTAGTAGCCGAGCTGGATACAAGATTGGAGCAGATTTTAAGGCGACTAAAATAGAAAACTTCCATAAGATGAAGGATAGTACCAGGATCACACTCTGCCAAGGCTACGCAGCCTCTAGTGCTCCAGTGCTCCAGTGCTCATCTCATGCATCCTGCGCAGAATCATCCCAATAGGGCAACGCACTAACTATATTGGGACTGTCGCTGTGGAGAAAAGTAGTCTCAGTAGTATACTAATACATTATTGTTGTTTTCAATATGTCCACGAACTTGAAATGCTAGTATCAATTTTGAATTGGATTGTCTACTAGTATTACTAGTACTTAACATATCCATTAGACTGTCGGTGGGCAGTAATGGCTTTTTTGTGCAATGTATATAGTGCATATAACTACTACCGTCATGCATCTATATATCCAGCCCTACCACTCTACAAAATACTAGTACAAAACGGGGATGACCTATACAGGCCCGGGAGGCTATGCATAGTTAATCTTACGGCAGGTAAGCTTTAATTCCAAGGTTACTTTCGCCCCCAAATCAGACATGAACAGCTCACAGCCCTGAAGGAGGTCAAGTTGGTCCGCTGCGGGATGTTATTCCACCGACGCTAACCCCAATCCAGAGATGGTCTACACTATAGTTGTCCCGAACAGGTGCAAATGCGCTGCAGTCTGTCCGTGTGGGCAGATTGAGTACTAACGACCATTGGAAACGAACAGCTCAAAATCTGTAATATGACAGCAATAAAAAATTGAAGAGGCTGTGTCCCAGAGAAGTAAATGATATATAAAGTTGGGTGATCCCGTTCCAGATTCCTTTTCCCTCATCTACATCAATCCACTATTTCATCTACATCTAATATCGGGGACACCCAGCTCTATCTATACAATTCATCATCATCACCACCACAACCACCACCTCATCATGTCCCAGTCAACAATCGCATTCTTCGGCGCAACCGGCGGCTGCGCAAACGCCTGTCTAGCCCTGACCTTACGCAACGGCCACAAAGCTATCGCAATGGCCCGCACCCCCTCAAAACTAACCGCCCAACTCCTCGAACAACCAGGCCTAACGCAAGAAATCCTGGACAAAAACCTCCGCATCCAACAAGGCGACGCCACAAACGTCGAAGACGTTATGAAAACCCTCATCATCTCCACCTCCACCACCAACAGCGCACATGGCGACGGCAAATGCCAGCTCGTTTCAACCATCATCTCAGGAATCGGCGGCGCACCAACAATGTCCTGGACCAAGGCGAATCCCTGCGACAAAATGACAATGCGAATCCCAACATTGCCACACATCGAGCTGAACAACCCACACATCACGGAAGAAAGTACCCGCACGCTCCTCGAAGCGCTACGACGTATTGCGACGGAGTATTTCCCTTCTTTCGAGACATATGCCGCCGCGGCACCGCGGGTGACAATTATTTCCGGGACGGGAATTGGATCGAAGAATGGGATGAAGGATGTTCCATTACTTTTTCGACCGATGTATTGGACGCTTTTGCCTGAGCCGCATGCTGATAAATCGCGAATGGAGGCGTTGTTGAATGAGGAGCGGGGGAAGAAGGAGTCTTTGCTTGTGGGTGGGTTGGTTGTTGTTCGGCCTAGTTTTTTGAGAGGTGATCATCGGATTGCGGCGCCTGGGATAGATTCTGGGTATGATAAGTTGCGGGTGGGTACGGATGAGAGTCCGGCTGCTGGGGTTGGGTATTTGGTGGATAGGGCTTTGATTGGGGAGTGGATTTTTGAGGAGGTTGTTAAGAGTGGTGGGGATAGATGGGTTGATGAAGGTGTCATTTTGACTTGTTAGGGTTCATGCTCGATCTGGGGGTTGCTTTTGCATTTGCTTTTGCACATTTTACTTTTGGCGAGATGGCATTTTTAAGTTAGGATACCTTGCGGAGTTGGATTTATGTTTTCAATGATTTGGTTAGATCGTTTATTTCTTTTATTTCTTTTATTATCAAAATCAAAGTCCACATGTTTAAAATAACTTTCCAAATGCTCCACATAGTGAAGGCCGATCGATATAAAATCCACATTAAAGCAAAAAAATCTCAATCAAATGACACACGGTCTAGATCTTGAGGTGGGGGAATCATAGTACAAGTCAGCTATTAAAAAGCAATATGTAGTAGTAACAAAAGCCAAACACCGAGCAATGATATGCTCCCAAGTAACGCCAGGGAAATTTATGTGAATTTCTGACCAAGAAATGATGAGCGAAGGTCAGGGAGGAGGACTGTACGGTCGGCAAAGACATCAAGCTCGAGTAAACAAGGTGAGCAAAATCTTCATGACAGAATTCGTGAAGGTCATGGGGCGATCGTGAAGGTGTGAACTATGAGGGACAGGTTGTTCAGGTACCCTCATATGCCGCCGGTCTGTTGATCTGCAAACTCTTGCGTTCCTCCTTGGCCTTGCGTCGCTCCATCTTTTGCATGGCCTCTTCAGTCAATTGCTGCCGGAAGAGCCTTTCCACAATCTCCTTCTTTCGCGTTCTTCGGTCACCAATCATGATTAGCACACCACCCGAGATATTGCAGGTGATTGAGCAGCAAAGGATGACGGTAGTCAAAGCGAATGGTCGCTGGCCTGGGTCTTCCATACTCCAGGTGCAGGCACCAAGAGCCATCTGGAGTAGGGAGTGGCAATCAAGCAAGACGACGATAGCGACAAGAATCCGGAGAGGGAAGGCATGGTGGGTGAAAGTTTCATGGGGTTTGTAGAAGGTGTGTGACTTGGCAAACTTGTTCTGGTGGTGCATCAATCGGAGTTGTTGCCGGGCGTCGAGAACCGAATATTCGTGCTCGTCTTCCTGGGGGGGTATCTCCAAAATCAACATCCACATCCTTCTCCCGTTGTGACGGAAGATCGTTTTTGTCCTTCAGGTTGGGGAGTTGCCGCTTGCCACGAATTTTCCAGGTGAGATGCGTATAGTGTGCGATGAAAATCATGTGGTAGGTGTCGACAGCTCGGAAAGGGGCGAGGCCATCACCCATGATAGCGAACAAGCCGACAAGGATGTTGTCAATGATGTTAACGACTTGGATCTGCTTGCCACCGACGTTGATCCAACCTGAAATTTATGTCAGTCGTGTTGCCCATGAGTTTGTTTGAAGGGGATAAGAAGAGCTGAGAAGACATACCAATCAAGAAAAGTACCCAGGCCAAACCGAACAAAGTGATCAATGTGGCGTACAGAGTGATAAAAAAGCCAAGGGCTAAAAAGCGACGTAGGTCAGTTTGGTGTCCTGGTATGGAGAGACTTGCAATACTTACGCTTCCGGACATATTGCCCGAATCCCTTCATCGCTCTCTTGAACTTTGAACGGCGAGAGTGAAGCATGTGGCGAACATGATCGTTGAGCTCCATGAAATCCTCTCTCGTCCAACCTTCCAATGCGTGTCCTTCAGGCAAAACAGCATATCGAGGGCCGACTAATACCGAGGACATGCTAGTGAATGGACGGAGTTGGTCAAGGGTTGGCCGTTCTTTGAGCTTATCACCATCCGACTCCCCTTCGTCTGTAGAGCTCGTTTGTTCTTCATCTGTGAGTGGACGCGTAATGGTATAAGTTGGCATTCGATTGATGAAGCCACCCAGATTCGGCACGAAGAGGGAGTTCTGGACATTGGTCAGGGTGGATAGGGCCGAAACCTCCGGGTCTATGATAATGTTTGTCAGTTAAAAGCGTCGGCTACGCTATTTCGGGTAGCTTACCGATCACGTCCAGCACGTCAACCACATGAGATCCATATTCATTTGTCTTGGCATCCTGGTTGTTGCCGGTGTTATTGAGAGTTGGTGCCCCCGTCACAGTGGATGCGCGGTTGCGAGAGAAACGATTCAGAGCGGCTTGACTGGTTCGCCGGAGTCTTCCCGGTTGTGTCACAGGCGGGCGGCTCTCGGAAGGTTCAAGGCCATTTTCGGGGACTGTATCTTGAGCTTCGCTTGAACCGGGAAGCGGAGTCATAGAGTTGTTACGAGATTCCTCTGCCAAAGGCATCATACGCATGGGAGTCGCCACTCGCGATAAGACATCGGTGGGAGGGGACGACCATCGTCCGGGTCGCGGCTCCGAGCTGCTGCGCCGTCGGCCAGTGTGCGGTGATTCATCCTCTTCAAGGACAGGAGACCGAACCTCGATAGGTCTGCTTCCAGAAGGCCCGGGCTGGATATCCGGCTGTGATTGTAGTTGCGGGAGGTCGGTATCCAAGGAGGAGAGCGAGGGCAGGCGGGACAGGCGAATACTTGGCCGGCGAGACCGATTAGATAGAGCTCGAGGCCGCACAGTCGCAGCTGGTGGTCTCTCAAGGGCCGAATCTACCGCGTGAGCCTCTGGAGCATTCCCGGAGAAGTAGTCCTGGACGGGCTCGATGCGATCGCGATCGCGATCGCGATTGTCGTCATCCATGGGAGGGGGTTGGGAATGGATGGATGGATGACTGATTTCGAAACAACGTAGGGAAATATCAGAGGCAAAGAGGGAGACCCAGAAGGTCTTGAAACGAACAAAGTAGCCCGGTAGCCCCTAAGCCATTGACGGGAACTGCAGGTTGACAGTTCTTGGGGGGGGAGGATTGCACCGTCAGCGTACCTTCGCGGATGACTCAGCTGGCTTTTTCTTGTTTTGGCCGTGACGATTTCAGTGGAGCAAACCGGAGTCAATGCGAGGCTAGTCTGTCGATCAGGCAGGATCTTCCTTTTTTCCTTCCTGCATGGTCGGTCTCGCGTGCATCCTTATGTCAAGTCGATCAAGTCTTGCGTGCCATCCTGGAGGCACTTGGAGGCAGCACTGCGAGAGACATTGTGGCGACACAGTGGAGACTACCATTGTCATGAATGGAGTACTCCGTACTCCGGACATGCAATCTTGAATCTTGGGCTATGGATTTAGTGCTGAGCTCAGGCCGCAGTGGAGTACCTACAGTGCACTAGGCTAAGCTAAGCTAAGCGATAGTAGGGTCCACGCTGGGGAGTATGGATGATATGGATATGGATATGGTCGAGCAACTACCAACTACAAAATACTCTGGGTCTACTCTGGATACAAACTAATATACTAATAATGGTGGTTCATTAGAATAACCCAAAGTCATCCGATCAGCAAAAAAGCCAAGATCTATAAGCCTTTAATTCTCGGATCTACCGCATTGACAGCAGAGCCAAGTCATCAGCCAAGACAACCTAATTTCAGTTGGCATACATTCACTAATACTATATCGAATTGAAGTCTATACAGCCCTGGCTACTGGTCAAACATGGCTTCAATTAGTCTGTTGCCTAAACATCTGAATACCAGTTGCTACTAGCCAATACTACCTTGCAAAATGCATTTTGTTTGCTTCCAGTGATGAAAGAACTTGAATGCTCACAGACATCATCAACATACAAACTAGTACTAGTACTGCCTACTCACTGGTACTTTCCTGCTCGGATGGTTCCTGCCTTCACCACCTGTTCTCGACCAACTTCAACTTCCCTACAAGCAAAAACCAAAGGACTGTTTCCAGCATACCCCAGACTCACCCCAGACACACCCTCCAAACAAAAGTCAGCCTCTTCCTCTTCCTTTTACAATTCCTCAAACTAAACCCAATGTCGAACACAGTGACCAGAGACTCAACTCCGTCAAAGTCAGACGCCGCCCTACAAAGAGGCAACCGAAAGCGATCCTTCACTGAAAGTGACGATGAGTACGAGGCGTACCTCGAAGAGCGAGCACGAAAGCGCAAGTCACCACCAGAACCAGCTCTCTGGTGTCCATTCACCGACAATTTCTTCAACGACATGGCCACAATCATCGCACGAGATTTTCCAATCACCCAATTCGCAGAGAGACACAACTGCGAGAAAAGAGACGTCTTACACGCCCTACACGCGGTAGTCATGGATCCTCTCCGCAGAAGCCAGCCATGGTACGAAGGCATGTCTGTCTCCGAAAACGCTCAAATTCTCATCTCAAACTGGCGTGCCCCTCCTTACATCCCCTCCCCGTCTGGACTTCCGGGAGTAGTAGTAGGCTCACAGGATTTGCCTATTCTCATCGCCGATGATTCTCCTCAACCGTCGAGTCCGAGTGGAACTTCGGAAATATATGGGATTGGTCCTGGCAAAACTAGCCTCGGTGGCTTCGAACGGAACCCTAAGGATCAACTTGCTGCTGTTCTTCGCGCCTTCGAAAAGGGGAGCCCGGGTTGCAAGAAGGAAAGATACGACTCGCTGACTCCTTCGGTGGATGGCTCTGCTCGCTCAGCCCCCGCTGCTTTGGGGATTGTCCCCCCCATCGAACAGTCCGAACCAGCATCAGGGTCGGGAACCCATGCTCGGTGATTCGAGTGGCGAAAGTACCATCCTGGCTTCTTGTTCACCAAAGGGCAAGAGACCAACGACTCAGCAGGAGAAAGTCCCAACCGCTCGGATTATGTGCCGCAAGGGTGCCGATGGAACTTGGATCCCAGCTCACAAATGGATTAAAGGATATCATCGCCCGGCGGTACGGGGAGAGGATGATCTTTCTGAATAGTCCGGGGATACTGAAAGACTAGATGGGGGAGCCACGAGACGGGGAGTATGGACAGTTGTTTGCTATGCGGCGGCGAATATGAATGCAGATTTAATAGGATCGAGATTCAGAGTAGCTAGTGAAGAAGCAATGGTGACCTTTTACTTGCTATGTGACGCGGTGCGGTGCAAGTTACTTGTACCATGTAGGTTAGCTGTTCAACGGTGAACGATAGACACCACTGGGCAGATTTCACGTATAACCTCGGAAGGAAACTTCACGGGATGTCCTTTGCACTGTGATCCCTCCTATAGTCCGACTCTTCTGGGTATTGAAAGTTAAAGAAGTTTTCTTCTTTAGCTGAAAGATTGCCTTAAGGTTCTGACAGCATAATATTAAAAAATCAGGCATCGACCCGGGACGTATATCATTCGCCGTAGGTGAATAACTAGGATAGGGTTTGACATGTCGTACGATAATTTGGTGACACCTACCTGTGTGTCCTATCTCGCCGCCACTGGCGCTTATTTTTGGATTTTTTGGAATTTATCCGAAGCGTGCAGCTAGGATAGGGTACATGTCTAATGCATGTCGGATCGGACTAGTATGCATGTAGTGGTGTCCATTGCCATTGTAATCGCTCCTATGCTCTGCTCTACACTGCTGTACAAATATTCCACAACATTACCAGAGCGGCGACGAACCATGGACGAAACTTTTCAGCCTGAGCGACGTGGAGAAGGGAAAGAAAGAGTGGATCCGGCTGAGGTGGAAGATCAACACAACCGGAGGGAGAAGGCTGTGGCCAGAACCGGGTGCGTCTGAAGGCTGCAGGGGCGGGATGGCGGGGGCAAAATCATAGATTGGTTAGATTGGCAAGTTTCATTGGCAAGGGTGGAATCGGAATAGAATGGAATTGACTTGAATTGAAAAATTTGAGTGTACACTAAAAAGGAATGGAGTCGGTGTAGAGAAGATGGATCGAAGATCATGGCACCTCACCGAATTGGAGGAGGTCCACTCTCCAGAATGACATCAAGTGTTGTTGGCAGTGGCGGTGGTAGCTAGCTGAGGTACCCCGTACAGGGCATCCCTCCCCTAAACTGGGGGTCAGCTCGGGGCTAGCCAAGCCCCCCCGTTTAGGGGCAACCGGGCTAGCCAAGCCCACGCGGCCAACAACAACCCATTGGGTTAGTGCTACACCGCCCTCTCCTAGGCAGGGTGAATGACAGATACTCCCTGCCTCGCTCTCTCACCACTTCTTCTCCTTCCTTAATCAACCTACTTTCTGAACCTCATCTCTTCGTTTCCGTTTCTCCCTCCCCCCCCTTCTCCCCCCCCCATTTCCGGTATCTAGGGCACCAAGCTACCCTGCTCCTTCCATCTCAATCCTCCCCTCGTCAAGTTTATTCGCCTCCCCCACCCCACCCCAGGCCAATCTCAAAACAAACATCTTCTGTTTGTTTGACACTTAGAGCTTTTTCTATCTCTCATCTTTGTGTCCCGCCTTCAAGATGTCTGCCGTCGACAACCTCGCTGACAACGTGGCCGCTGCCACCATCAACGACACCCCTAACACCAACGGCGCTGCTGCTGCGACCTCGCAGTCTACCGACGCCGCGGCCGCCAGTGCCGATGAGGGTCGTCGTCTGTACATCGGCAACCTCGCTTATGCGACCACCGAGGAGGAGCTCAAGGAGTTCTTCAAAGGTTACACCATGTGAGTTTTGATGGCCGATCTGGAGTGGAGCTCTCGTGGCCAAGCTGAAGATGCTTCCCTGCTCTTCTCCCCTTCCGTCCTACAGCTACAGCTACTGACTCATAGCTTCCAGCGAGAGCACCTCGATCCCAGTGAACCCCCGCACCAACCGCCCTGTTGGATACGCATTCGTTGACCTCGCCACTGCTGCCGAGGCCACCGCTGCCATCGAGGGACTTTCCGGCAAGGAGATCCTCTCTCGCAAGGTTTCAGTGCAGCTCGCTCGCAAGCCCGAGCCTGCGGAGGCTAAGGAAGGTGCTGCCAGTGGCGGCGAGGGCGCCAGCGGCAACGAGGGTCGCAAGCGCTCTGGTGGCCGCGGCCGCGGCCGTGGTCGCGCTCGTGGCCGTGGTGGCCGTCTTGGTCGTGGACGTGGTGTATGTTTTGACCCCTTTCCTCCCCCCATGTTCCATCTCTACAGATGATCGACAATGACGATGCTGACCAATCTTTCTTTCGATTTCACAGGCTCAGGAAGGACAAGAATCTACTGACGCCAATGCTGCTGGCCAGGCTCCTCTGACTGAGACTACCAACGAGAACGAGGCTGCTTCCGCCGAGGGCGCTAAGCAGGCCAAGACCCCCCCGTGCTGCTCGTCCCCAGAAGCAGCGTGGTCCCCCCGAGGACGGCATCCCCTCCAAGACCAAGGTCATGGTTGCCAACCTTCCCTATGACCTGACCGAGGACAAGCTCAAGGAGATCTTCGTTGAATACTCCCCCGTGTCTGCCAAGGTCGCCCTTCGCCCCATCCCCCGCTTCATGATCAAGAAGCTCCAGGCCCGCAACGAGCGCCGCAAGACCCGCGGCTTCGGTTTCGTCAACCTGTCCACCGAGGAGCTCCAGGCCAAGGCTGTCAGCGAGATGAACGGCAAGGAGATTGACGGCCGTACCATCGCTGTCAAGGTTGCCATCGACAGCCCCGGCAAGGAGGACGATGTCGATGCTGCTGCCGACCAGTTCGAGGAGACCAACCCTTCCACTGAGGAGAACGCTGCTCCTGCTGCCGCGGCTGACTCTACCCCTGCCCCTGCCCCCGCTGAGACCACTGCCTAAATACAGGCTTAAAGGTCCCAAATCCCCACAGATACTGGCTTGCTAATTGGCTTGTTTTTGAGATGGAGCGTTAATCCTGAGATATGGATATGACCACAGTGATTTTCAAGTCATCTGCGAGTATTTCCTTTTGCTCGACAAGTGGTTTGAGAGCGATCTGTGGTGATGAGAGGGTGTGATGACTTGTTTCTTTTTTATGGATGTCATGGAGAATATGTCCATGGCTGGAGAGCTGTTTTTTTTTTTTTCTTTTATTGCTTGACGCCTCCATCCTTAACGACCTTTGCCTTCTGTAATGTATCTTAGCACCCATTTAACTAACTGATGACGATCTGGCCCTATCCCACGTATCTATCGTATTTTTTGTTTTGCGTTGTTGAGTTATCCACGTAGACCGAAACCGGGCCCCAATTAGGGCGATGACGCTAGGCTTGGAGCGACCCTTGTCGATCAGCGGCCAAAACAGACCAACTTCCCCCATCCGACTGGAAGAGGTTAAACTACACACACACTCTCTCTCTCCTCCCACCATCCTATCTGTATTATTCCTCTCTCATCAAACCCCCTTTTTCTATACGATTCGGGTGGAGCAATCAATAAACGGGGGTTAAGCACCAAATTCGACATAGACTCCGAAATCAAACGTGCGGCCCCGAGTCCCAGGTCCGCTCCGCCTCCTACTTGTACACCCTTGGACTGCTCTGCGTGTCTGTCTCTTCTCTTCCAATTGTCCCATCTTCACACCTTCTATATAACCCACTGCAATGTCTCGCATGTGGGAAGTCGACCCGGAGACGAGGACAAAGGTGCGCTCATGAATTCCCCTCTCCCCTCCATTGGCGCCCACCAGGAAGCACACCGCAAAACAGAACAGCGTGACTGACCACTCAATCATCCCAACAGCTCCTCCAAATCTCCAAGACCAACGGAAATGACAGGTGCTGCGATTGCGGAGCGCCTTCACCTCAATGGGTAAGTGAGAAGCCAGCCTCGAGCCCAGCTAGCAAGTTACAACTACGACCCTCCCCCTCTTGCCCCCCAATCGAAATGAAATTGGCCGCAGTCCTCCCCCTCCATCAACCCCCAAAACCCGATGCAAAGCAGAACGAACAATAGACTAATCTCATACCTCTTTCCTTACCATAGGCCTCCCCCAAATTCGGAACCTTCATCTGCCTCAACTGTGCAGGCACACACCGCGGGCTCGGTGTACATATCTCCTTCGTCCGCTCAATCACCATGGACGCCTTCAAACACGCAGAGATCCAGCGCATGGAACTAGGAGGCAACGAGCCATGGAAATCCTTCTACGACGCCCACCCAGTCACCACCTCCGAGGGCCGCACATTCGAAGACTCAACCATCAAGGAGCGTTATGAAGGCGACGCGGGCGAGGAGTGGAAGGAGCGCCTTTCTTGTAAGGTCGAGGGCCGCGAGTATGTGCTCGGCCAGGAGAAGAAGAACAATAATGCCTCGTCGCGGTCTAGTACGCCGATGAGTGCTGCCGGCGCGGGCGCTGGCTCTGGCGCGAGGACAGGCTCGCCTGCTACCTCTATTCGCTCTGATAGTCTGCGCGGTGGTGCGGGTCCGAGTGCGTCCAAAAAGGAGCAGAATGAGGCTTATTTTGCGAAATTGGGTGGTGATAATGCTACTCGCTCGGACGCGCTGCCTCCCTCACAAGGTGGGAAATTCACTGGGTTCGGTGGTGGTGTGCCTCAACCCGCAGCTGGAGACCGTCGGTCTTCACCATTTGGAGGACTTGGAGGTTGGGGTGCATTTGGAGGCGGAGGTGGTGGAGGTGGAGGTGGAGGGCCGGCCTTGGACGATTTCCAGAAAGATCCCATGGGCAGTATTACCAAGGGATTTGGCTGGTTCGCGTCGACGGTTGGAAAGGGTGCTAAACAAGTCAACGATTCATACCTCCAACCAACAGCGAAGCAACTCGCCGAGTCGGACTTTGCCGCTCAAGCCCGAGTACAGGCAACCAACTGGGGCCAGAATTTCCAAACCGGAGCCCGCAGTGCAGCGGATCAATTCAACCGTTTCGTCGAGGGCGATGATGGGGGTCATGGTCGTGGTGGTGGTAGTTCCGCTACTCGCTCCAATGTTGATCCCGAGCGTCGCGATTTCTGGGATGACTTTTCTTCTATCGGTGCGCAACAGCAGCAGCAACAGCAAGAGATGTCGGGTCATCAGCGCAGCGGGTCACGGTCTGGCGTTATTGGTACTGCTGCTATGCGGAAGGGTCCTACGCCTGTGGCTTCTTCTTTGTCTAATGAGACTACTGCCCCGTCTGGTGTAGAGGGGGCCGAGGCGGGTCCCACGAAATCCAAGCCCAAGGAGAAGGATGACTGGGATGAAAACTGGTAATTTGTATTAGTATATATTCGTGTTCCGTCTCATACTAGTAGTACTGGTATGTGCTTATGAGGGCGGGTTTCTAGATGTCATGACTTTTGTATTTAGTCCGAGTCCTCGTACTACCTCTTCTGGTACCTTGAACCCATATTATTCCTAGCTGCATGAACGAAGTGTCTCTCGCATGATATCCATGAGCGGAGAGTGAAATTGTGTGATGGTACCTTTGCAGATCATGATGTAGAACTGGTATTAGATGAAATGTATTGTACAATGCCTTTGCTATACTAGGCATGGGGAGTGATATCCATGGATCCAATGGCTACTAGTATACAACTTGAAGGTGAGCAGTATCAACCCTTAGAAGCCACCTCTCAGCTCCGTAATGACAGCCTTCTGTCTCTGAGAAGACATGTTTTCAAATCGATCAACACTCATGACGAACGTGCCCCGACCAGCAGTCAAACTGCGAAGATGCTTCAAGTACCCAACCATCTCCTTCAGAGGCACCTTGGCAGTGATATTACGTGGACGCGAGGTTGAGACGGATACTTCCGCACCAAGAGAGGACTCGAATGGATCCAGCGGTGCATATACACGCTTGGGATCGATAGGAGGCAAGTCCTCCTGGCCCACGACGGGATCAGTAGGCGAGGCATCCGTCGCGGTGAGGGGAACTTCCTCATCCAGGGAAACGATATGACCACCTCGTGATGAGGAGATATCGTGGACGACTGAGCCCAGGCTAGCTTCGTCCACGCTAATAATTACATTCATAACTGGCTCCATCATGACTGTTCCCGGGCCGGTGGGAAGTTCCCGCAGAGCAGCACTCGTAGCTTGTCGTGCTGCGGCGGAGAGCGCAGATGTAGTGGTATCGCTACCGAAGAGATGTTCAGTCGGGTTGATAGTCAGTGTGACTCGGGTGTTGTGCATTGGGAAGGTGAACTGAGGGCCACGAGCAAGAGCTGCCAGTGCGCCGTTTTGCAGCGCAGTGCGAAGAGTAACGGCATCCATACCTGGAGGTAGGAATGGGCTCGTTTCCTCTTCACCTCTGCCTGCACGCTCCATCTGGAGGCCTGGGGCTTGAATGATGATCTGATTGCCTTCAATCGTTTCGGCGAGCAGGGTGTCTTCGTCCGCTGCTTCGGAGATTTCTTCCTCGCCGAACGGCTCCACGATAGCTGTGCAGCCTGCTTTGCCGCGACGGCCGGCAATCTCCTTGTCGAAGATCTTGGTAATGGAAGAGGATGCCCCCAGCCCGGACTCGCGGTAACCGATCTCGATGCTTCCCATAGATGCCTTCGCCTTGAGGTCATTAATCAGACGATCGCGGGCGATCTCTAGATGCAACTCGCCCATGCCGCTTAGAAGAGTTTGGCCGGATTCTTCGTCCACACTGACATGCAGACTTGGATCCTCTCGTAATAGAAGCGCGAGTGATTCCTGCATCTTCTTCTCTTCACTCAAACTATGTGGCTCGACACTGGTGAAGAACACTGGCGGTGGCACGTCAATTGGACGCAACTGAAGACTGGTTAAGGGCTCTGGGGGTGTCGGTTTATTTCCAGCATAGGTGACGAGGGTATCACCAGTACGAGCATGTTTGAGTCCAACCACGACACCAATGTGGCCGGCTGGGATTGAATCTACCTCTACCGCATCATTGGCGTGCATTTTCAGTAAACGAGGCGCCCGCTCGGAGAGATGCAAGTTGGTGTTAAAAAGCAGGCTGTTCCGATCAAGAGAGCCCGAGTATACTCGCACGTAAACCAGTACGCCACGTTTGGGGTCATTGACCACCTTGAATGCCAAGGCACAGCTCTGAAGTTTCCCAATTGCGTCCTTGGGGTTGGTTTGAAGTGCTGCACTCTTCTTCTTTTTCCCTTTGACGGGAGTGGCGGCCTTCTCACTTTGCTCGACGATCAAATCCCCGGAGAGCAGTCTTCTCAATCCTCCCTTAACTCCACCTATGCTGACCTCTGGGTCAGGCGCCTCGGGTGGGCTAGGGAGAAGGTTCACCACAGCATCTAGCAGCGGCTGAACACCCATGTTGCGGAAGCTTGCACCAGCGAAGAGGGGAACGATACGGCTTGTAGGGTCAAGAACGCAGCGGCGGAGACTCTCAATGATATCCATCGAAGATACAGCCATATGGTCTTCATCGCACTCGAAGAACTTCTCCACTATGGTCTCGTCTTGCTCGCTGAGAAGTTCAACTAATGCAGCCCGGGCCTTTCTCAGCTCCTGTGCCAAAGCCGGCTCCTCTGCATCGAGCTGTTGGAGATTCATCATCTTTATCGTGCGTCCATCTTCGCCTTCTCTCCATCGAAGACCTTGCAGATTGATAGCGTCCGCAATGCCGACGAAAGGACCAGTTCCCGCTTCGAACCAAGGAATATGGCATACTGCTGGGTAAACAGACAGGCGGGAGCTGACCTCTCGCACCGTACGACCAAACGCGGCCCCATCACGATCTAGTTTGTTCACGTAGATCACTCGAGGAATCCGGTAGGTGCTAGCCTGATGCCAGACCTTTTCAGTCTGCGCCTCAACACCAGCCACACCGTCTCAGGATACAGACAGCGCCATCGAGAATACGCAGGGACCGCATAACCTCAAAAGTGAAGTCCGCATGGCCTGGCGTATCAATGAGATTAATTGTATGCGAGACCGCTGACCGTGGTAGAGACTCATCACGCGGTTTTGACTGAGCTGCCTCACTGCCACCTCCCGGAGGCCAATGGAAGGTGATGGCAGCCGACTGAATGGTGATTCCTCGTGCACGCTCGGCCGGTAAGAAATCCGTGACGGTGGATCCTTCATCAACATCACCGATGCGACGAGTAAAACCGCTGTAGAAAAGCATGCGCTCCGTCGTTGTAGTCTTTCCGGCATCAATGTGAGCGATGATGCCGATATTGCGTGTTCGGTCCAAGACCTCATCCTGCCACCTAGATAAGGAGGTTGAAAAGTATTGTGCCGAGGTCAGGCATGGTTTGAAACTCTTGATATCAATGGTGCTCCTCAATGGGCTGATACGAGTCCTATAAAAACGGGAGCTCATACAACGCACCCCCGATTGGGGGACGCGCAACAACGGAGTTGCGACCATTTCTCTAAAGAGTGCCCATGCAAGGTCGATCTCGTTAACAGAGATTAAGATACTCTTGTCGAATGTACCCTAGAGCCCAAGGTGGATCGACTGGCTCAATTGGCTCGAACCTTGGGAAGGAAAATCGAACGGAGCTGGCAACTTCGGGGCTTGGCGCACGCATTCCATTTCCCTACGTAACTCTGCTAACTCTCCAACTGCGGTCAACCTCACCTCTCCGCACCTCCTCTTACCTCGCCTCAACTCACGACTTGCTTGACTTATTGTACCTCTTTGCTATGCGCTCCATTTAGCGACCTCCCTATTCTTCATCCCAAGTCACGCCAAGGTGAGTTCTTTCTACAACTGCTTTGATCTACCTGGCCGCTATTGTGGGGTCCCAACTCCCGAACCCCCAGCCATAATACTGACGCCTGTCCATCACTAGCAGCTCCTCTTCCCCTTTGGACTTCGTGACGATCCCCCTTACCTCCAATTCCAACCAAAATGGATTACTCAACCCTCACGAACGATCCGGATCACCCCGTCGAGTCCTCGCCTTGGGGTTCTCCGCGCGCCGACCGAAACACCTTCCCCACCTCCGGTAACAATGACATCCCGTCTTCTCCATTGCCTGGACAGGGACAATCGGTAGAGGGCGCGGAGGGTGACCGTGAGGCAGGCAGTCAATCTCCGGATCTTTCTGCGCAACTTCAAAACGCACAACTGGGCGACCATGACTACCCCGAGCCCCAGTCACCGTTCGCGACTCAGCAATCCCCCAATGCAGACCAGCGGTCTCAGCTCCCCGCACGCTATCAGACTGGAGCACGCCAGAATTCCAGACCTCCAGCGCCGGCACCTACATACAAGATTCAGGGAAAGATCACTGGCCTCGAAAGGACCGGCAAGAAGGACCCTATTCTTCGATTTGACGTTCATGTGGGTTGATCCTCTCTACCTGGGCTTGACTAGGGTATCACGGTGCGCTCCGACAATGGCCGACTAATTCCCTTTCTTCAATATAGACGAATATTTCCAAGTTCCGCACGACCCAGTACCGCGATGTTCGCCGGACTCACTCCGAATTCGCCAAACTCGCCGACCATTTAGTCTCGGCTTGCCCGGAAGCTCTTGTCCCGGCTGTACCTCCGCCAGTCACCCCAGCCGGCGCAGGAACCGATGAGGACGAGGTTCGGGTCAAAGCTTCCATGCAGCGGTGGCTCAATATCGTACTTAGCAATGAGGTACTCATTCAGGACGATGAAATGGTTCTTTTCGTGGAAAGTGATTTCGGCTACAGCCCCGTCCTACGCATGAAACAGCCTGCCACTGGTGTACGGCGTAAGATGTTAAAGCAGTTTGCTCCGCCCCCAGATGATACTCCCGAGCTTCAAGGCGCTCGTCCTACTGTCAAAATGTTCTACTTGGGATCAATGGACGCGAGTCATAAGGTTGACCGTGTCGTCAAAGGCCGTCGAGGTATGCTTGTTTCAATGAATCGACCTGTCCCGTGGATATAACTGATTGGTTTATAGGCCTTGGATTGGCCGAGTCTGACTTTGGTGTCAAGATTGGCCAGCTGCACGTTCAGGAAACACATTCAGGCTTGAGCATGGCATACCGCAAGCTGGGCAAAGTAATTCAGACAGTCGGTGACTATCATGCTATCCAGGCGACAGCCGAAGCTACAACACTAGGAGAACCTTTGAGCTACCACTCCTCGGATGCGCTGATTGTGAAGGAGACTCTGACTAACCGACACATTCTGCTGCGCGAACTTCTCCAGGCCCAGCAGAGTGCCCAAAGCAAGCGTGCCGCGGCAGACCGATTGAAGGTCAGCTCTTCTGTTCGCCCGGACAAGGTCGATGAGGCAATTGGTGCTCTGGAAGAGGCTCAGACCCGTGAAGACTACCTGACCAAGCGCACGCACCGCGTGACGTCGAATCTGCTCCACGAGAAGCGCCGCTGGTTTGACCGCACCACTGCGGACCTTCTATTCAGTCTGCGAGAGTACACTCTGCGCCAAATTGAGGCGGAGCGACGAACATTGGCCACTCTGGAGAGTGTCCGACCCGATATTCGTGCTATCGATGCCTCTGGTGGATTGAGTCGACTAGGTCGCGAAGCCCACCCCGCACAGCGCCGACCAAACGCGGTCTCAAGCCAGGGTCCTAAAGGTGATGCTTGGAGTGGTGTCCCCCGTCGCCCTGAAAGCATGGGCCGCAGTATGAGCGGCAGCTTCACTGCCCCTTCGATTGCACAGGAGGATGACGATGCGAACCACCAGGAGTCTGGACAGGGTCGGGCTCGATCTACTAGCCAAGCTGAGTCAATTGCGGAGGAGGACGATGATCGTCTGGATGCTCGCAACGCTGCCAGCCGGCTGGCCACTAGCACTTTTTAAACTGGACAGGATGCCGAATTGCATCGTGTTTGCTTGTGTGTTCGGCATCGAATGTGTACATGTAGCCTGGGCACGTTCCGTGATTCCCCTTTTGTTGCTTTTATAATTCGTTTCGTCTTTTTTTAGTATTAAATTCGTCCTTCACATTCCCACGGGTAGTATGTACGAAGATGTTAACAATGTCACATCACAGAAAATCCTTATTCAGTTGGTATATTGGATGATAATGGTTTCTATATCCAACCTTTTACTCAAGAACAGTCTCGGACACAAACTTGCGATTCATTCACTGTACTACTACTCCTAGTAGATTCAAAGTATGTTAGTCCACCGTATTTAAATTCCGGTATCTTTTCAGCCAGCGAGCAACACATACTCCATCCTCAAACAACCGTGACCCCTTCAAGCCAGTCTCACCATACTACTGGTACTACCTCTGTTCGTTCACTGAGACCACTCATCAAACCGCTCTGCACCATCTTCCGGTAGCTCATACCAGGAAGCCTTCTCCGCCAAAAATATATGAGCAGAAGGAGGTGGAATGAGACCTTTCACATCATCATCCAGCGTACCAGCTGCGACCTCTTCCACATCAGGCATCGAATAAACTTTCATCGAGAGAACCGACCCACACCGAGGACAAAATGTCCGCGAAGCTGTGTCACTCGACTTCCATTCAGTAGGATTGGTCTGCCATTGGATCGTGCCTGTAGGGAAATGTACAAAGGCCAGGTAGGGGGCGCCGGACTGTTTGCGGCATGTAGTGCAGTGGCAGTTGGATAGTCTGGTTGGAGGTACAGAGGTGGTGTACTTGATGTATTTGCATGCGCAACTTCCAGAGGCCATTGTTGTCTGATACTAATTGGAGGGGTTCGAGGATGTTGTTATACGAAAGTTACCCCACTCTACAGGCTGGTGACTTTTATACCCCAAGGCGCTCGTGCCACCGGTTTGCTTGGTGGTGTGATTGGTTCATTTGGTGTCAGTCCAGTACTTGATGTCATTGCGATGGTTCGGGTGGTAGGTAGTATTTTACAGAGAAGCGTTGATTGGAAGTATTGGGAGGATTAATGTAGTACAGTAGTTTTAAGCTAAGAGAATTGCCCGATGATTCCAATATTTGAAAATAGTGTGATGCCTTAAAGCACGGGGATAAATGATTCTATCAAACCCCACCTTTGTGGTCCGACTCGGGCCAAATTGCCTGATTTCAAAGCATGCAGAACATAAATGTAACAACACTCGGATTACTTCTCTTTCGACCTCACAACCTCAAACTTACCACTCGTACTCATATCGTCTGATTACCCACAACATGGCTCCGAAGGTCTTCCTGTCAGTAACTCTTCCACCCCACTCGTCATTCTTGTCAATATCGAGCTGATCTGACTCCCTCCACAGCACTGGTGCTACTGGCTATATTGGTGGCGACGGCCTCTATGCTGTCTCCAACGCTCATCCTGACTGGGAGCTCTCAGCTCTCGTTCGTAGCCAGGAAAAGGCCGCTCAACTCAAGGCCAAGTACCCCAATATTCGGGTAGTCCTCGGTGACCTCGATTCGTCTGATGTCATCGAAGAGGAGGTTAAAAATGCAGATATTGTCTTCCGTAAGCATGCTACCTATTATGCAGAATTATCATCCAAAACTACATGTTCTTCCTAGCTAACTCTGTCCTAGACTTTGCTGATTGCGACCATGTCGCTGCGGCCAAGGCCATTGCCAAAGGAGCTCAACACCACACGCCCGAGCGTCCTCTCTGGGTGATTCATACCTCGGGAACCGGCATTTTGACAGTTGAAGATCAGCGAGCTCGAAGCTACGGAGTCGAGCGTCCCAAGGAGTATAATGACTGGGAAGGAATAGCCGAGCTTGTCGATCTTCCCGAAGATGCTTTCCACCGCAACGTGGACGAGATTATCATTGGAATTGGTCGGCGGGATCCATTCAGTGCTCGCACTGCTATTGTCTGCCCACCAACGATTTATGGACCCGGTCGTGGCCCCGGTAACACGAAGAGTGTACAGGCCTACCTACTAAGTGCCGCGGTGCTCAAACGTGGCAAGGGCTTTCTGGTCGGCAAAGGCGAGAATATCTGGCATCAGGTTCATGTCCAGGATTTAAGCAACGTCTATCTCGCACTAGGCGATGCCGCAGCTGAAGGTGGCGGCAAGGCTACCTGGAATGAAGAGGGCTATTATTTTGCAGAGAATGGATCCTTTGTTTGGGGGGATATTCAGCGAAAGGTGGCCGAGGAGGCATATGCTCAGAAATTTATCTCCTCGCCCGCTGTTGAGTCTCTGGATGCGAAACAGACTACTGAAATCTTGTCTGTGGGACTTTACGCTTGGGGATCTAATTCTCGCGGACGTGCTCTTCGTGCGCGGAATCTTTTCGGATGGGAGCCTAAGCAGCCAAATCTGATTGATTTGATCCCGGAGATTGTGTCGCTGGAGGCGAAGGAACTTGGTCTCTGAGAGACATACTTATTGCGTGGAAGAAGTGTGGCATTTTGGGTGAATGAAGGAGATATCACTTATACCATGCACCCCCCGGCACTGGCAAAGCCAGAAGCTCTCATTCACGCATTCCGGTACTACTTTTACTCAATATTTC